ACTAGCTTTGATTGTCCTTTCATATGAAAGTTAAAAAAGAAAAAAAAGTAAAAAAAAAAAGGAAAGGAACATAAACATTCATTTCGAGAAATCGATCTAGACGATACTATAATTACTACTTACTTACGTTGTTACGTACTAGACGTCTATTTTTAATTAATCTTTAGACTTCGATTCAAGTCGCTTTAAAATTCAACACTTTACTTAGTTGCAGAATTGTACTGTAGCTTTGCGCTTAGCTGCGGCGCTGCAGACCCCGGGTTCAAATCGCGGACAAGAGGTTAAATGCCTCCATGTTACAGGTGAATCCTACCTATTATAGGGGATGTTAGAGAAAAAAGTATATTTCAAAGGTATGCAGCAAAAGTAGTTAATTAAATGTATAGGTACTACATGTTCTGTCCGTCTTTCTTTTCGAACCGGGACACATCTACACCATATTATCTAATATGAAATGGTCATACCTCTATGTTCCTCCTTACGCTCCAAAATGATAAATTTAAACAACACAATAAGCTTCTTATAGAATAAGGGTGCCAATCAAGCACTCAGTCCACTTGATGGTAAGTGGATTCTGTGGCTCATTGACATCTACATTTATTCTTGATTAAGAAACGAAATACAGATGCGTTATCACCCTTAAGGACTAAGATGGGATTCCTTGTTTCCAGTAAAAAGGGTCACCGGTTCTATACAGTACCACGAAACTCCGCTGCTATTTTACGCTGATATCCTGTGAGAGCGTGGTCCTACCCCGGTCGAGCTGACCCATTCATGCTACAACTATATAGCTGCAACTCTACCAAGTATTTTCTAACAATGACAAAATTTTCTTAACTATTTCCTTCTATTTTTCTGTTACGTTCTATTTTTACCATTCTTTTTCTTTCTTTTATTACAGCTACAGGTGTAATACCTACATAATATAGTATATTACTAAAATATATTTTATACAAATGATGTGACATTCGAACTTACAGTCCTGATGATGAATGGCTGCTGCAGTTCATGGACACTTCAAGCTCCAAACAAGGAAGGCTACATGTGCGTTGTCACCCCTGTGGTCCAGGATGAAATGTCAGCTTGTAATTATGTAGGCTTTCTTTACCCTGTAGATCGGAACACAACAGTGTAGCAGTGCAGTCACACTGCAATTTAGCGACAGAAAAAGGTAAGAGGATGGCTACTACCCAGACTAACTTCAAAGTAAAATAAGCGGTTCTACCACCGAGTAAGTTAACTTTTTTTAAGCTTAGACATTAGTTATGAGCTATAGTGGTGAACCATTTTACTAAAAAAAATTGGATGTAACATGTGAACGGAGTAGAAGCCTACGGAAATGATATTTTACAAAAAATTAAAATATTAATTTTGAATTAAAGGTTTAAAAATAATTTTTTTGAACAACTACTTTTCTGCCCTTTGCCCTCGAGCCTTCTTTTTACATGGTGAAATGCCTACGCAAACCCGCCTCGCGGTGGCAAGGAAGGGTTATGTCAAACTCGCAGCGATTAAAACCCCGTGGTGTTCCACCTTCGTCGCATATTGGCAGGGCCACGGGAACGCTTTCGCACATATCCGCGGCCTCACAATAACTAGACTGCCGTAGACAGAGAGTAGATACAGTGTTATTACTCTGCTAAATTTGTACTTACTGAACAGCAACAAACGTCTGAGAGGACATCAACTTAATCTTTGCCATAAGGCTGCCAAGCGGATTTCTATGAAGAATTTTATTACAAATCGTGTTGGCACCAAGTGGAAGAAGCAAAATGCGATTGATGCTCCTATATTGAATGCCTTCAAGATCAGATTGGATAAAATCTTCGAATATTAAGACGCACAAGCATCAGCTTTTTAGCTGCTAGTATGTTTATGTATAAACAATAAAATAATAATAATAATCTCCTTCTCAGGTAAGGCGCACCGAACACATGGCGCGCCCTCGTTTGCGACCTCCAACTTCATATGCGCAACAGACGCCCACGTGTCCGATGCGCGAAGGCCATGGGGTCAGGAAAAAAGAGCCTTCCTGACCTCAGCGGCGAATCTGGTCTATGGCTCCGCCGCCAACCGAGATTGGGCTCCCTCTCCTCCCTACTACCCTACTCCCTACGCCCTACCACCACCGCATCGATTAACGGTGCGGCCCCGTCAGAGTCGCGGAAGATAGGGCGAGTGGCGCATCGCCATACCAACAATCCTCTTCCTCCGCTACTCCACCTCGACTGCAGCGGGATGGGGAGAGGGCACCACTTTTACCGCAGCCCACCAACACACCTGCGAAGTGGGCTCGGCTAGTCCACTCGGAGTGGTCTCCTCGGGCCCCACGGGCCAACCATGTGGGTTCCTCTTAGTTTACCGCGGGTGACCAAGCCACGGCTACTAAGCCCCCCCCCCCGCCATGACTAGGCGATAACCCGTTCGGGAGGGGAGGGGTTGCCCTTGAGCCTGTGACCCGGCGAAGTGACAAGATCAAAGATGCCACTAAATTTATTGTTTTATTGCCGTTCGTAAAGTAGGAAGGATATGATTTGAATTTCGATTGATTTAAATTCCTTAATTTATTTATTTCAAAATTTTGTTTCTATTTTTTGTAAAAATTTTTGTTTAAATGTTATAAGTACCATATTTTTTCCAGACGGTAAAAAAAGGTCACCAGTGTAATCCTAGTGAAAATAATATTAAGTTATAGTCATAAAATTATTGTCATCAGTTCATAAGTTATACGTCTGCAATAAATTCACATTATTCAGCCATTCACGTGAAAATAGAATAAAAAATTACATTATTTCATACATACGTTTATACATAAAATAATATCAAGCTAATAAATTTAAAGGAGAATGTTTATTTTTATTGAATAAGGGTGACAAACGAGCACACAGTTCACCTGATGGTAAGTGGGTGCTGTAGCCCGTAAATACATTTCCATCTATCCTCATTTGAAAATGCAGATGCGTTGCCAACCCTGAGGACTGATATGAAATGCGTCGTTTCCAGTAATAAGGGTCTCCGGTTCTTTACACTCACCATACGAAACACAGCAGCTGCTATTTTACGCTGATATTCTGTGAGAGTGTGGTCCTTCCCCGGTCGAGCCGACCCATTCGTGCTGCAACCACAATATAGCTGCAGCATGACTCTACCACGTAAAAACGTGTTAAAATGCAATAAAAAAGTTGGCAAAGTAGTGAAATTAAAATTTTGTTATTAACTTTTCTTAAGGCGCTTATTTGTTGAAAAATATTATTCGGCCGTCGTAACATCTTTTTTCTTGCTTTCCTGCAAGCTGTGAAATTGATTTCGTGAAAAAGGACGAAAGTGTGTAACAGGACGTCAAGAAGTGCGCGCTATTTGATTTGATCAATGAGCGTACGTTGTGGAATTGGCCGTCAGCTTAAAACCAAGGTGATATGTTAGGTGTTACACATCATATGCGACTACTGTAAGCCCGTCCATTTTTTTTTAAATTATTTTGAGTTGTTCTCAGGAATTGTTCCTAAATATGTTATAGTTTCCCTATTTTAGCCTTTACGGCATCCACGGGATGGATATGCTTACACCACACTACACGATTTGTACAATGTTATGGTTAAAGTTATGGTCACCTGCATGCAATATTGACAAAAGGCATTACGAAAATAAAATAAAACGTGATATCATTTCTCATTATTTTAATGAACTTTAACTATCGTAACCGTATTTATACAAATAAAATAAGATAAAAATATTATCATTATATTACCTTTACAATAAATTTATTATTAATTTTGGAATTAATTATATTATTATATTTATATTTTATGAAATACTAATAATATTTCTCTTAAACATACAGCCTAGCTACTGTCATACAAAGCACTGCAGTGTCGAGGCCTCCACTTAGCTTTTCAAAGGGTTTCGGAGCTTAAGCAAGAGTCTATCGCGCTGCCTCAATGCATTTTGGCGGACTTTACATTTGCTAAGACATGTATATATTTTCTTCACTGCCGAGCATGTGGCGAACCCCACATAAAACTGTGATGAAAAATTGGTGCCAGTATAAGACACCTGTCTTGAATTTAATTTTTATCGCCTTAGCTACCACAACTTGAATATAGCTCATAACATTAATATAAATTAACATTACACCGTTAAACTTAACATACATACAAAAGGCAAGCATTCTCCAATGATTAAATTAAATCAACTGTGTTTCAACTACAATATGTTTCACGAAACTTTCCACGTATTTCAGAGAACAAAAATAGCTTAAAGGCTACTTAATACTATAGTCTAACGGAATAAGGACCTGTAATATGATGATGGAGTACTATCATTCACAATTTACATATTTTTTTCTTCGAATGTAATTTACATTTTACTCGTAATGTGCCAATAGGTCTTTCAAACACATTCAGAGTCTGTACTAAAAACAATTTATTAATGATACTGACATTAACTTCAAGTTAGCTATGTTTTGTAGTCTCGAATTATAAACTTAAATATGTATTGTTTTCAAGCTGCTTTTTTTAATCTTTTTTGCAAGAGTATGATTGTGCGATGACGTTCACGTTTAATAGTCCTACATATTCTACCTTGCAAATATTAATGGTCAAGTATCTAACATAGCAATATTTATCGATTTTTGAACAATAGATAAATTATTTAATATTATTCAATTGATTTGAAAATTAATTACGTAAAAGTGTCAGAGCAAATGCCAATGTAAGATTATTATTAGATGATATAGCTCTAACCCAAATATTAATATTCATGTACTTATATTATTACAAAAAAATATGTGATCAGGTTTAATGAAAAATATTTTTTTAATCTATAAGAATTAATTCAATTAACACGTACTTGCTACCTTATAGATAAAATATTTTACTTGAATCAAATTTATCGACGGAAACATTCTTCCTCAAACATTCATGCGAAATGTTCTTTACGATTAAAAATAATACTGGCGTATATTTATATCTCTTATATCCTTAAGGCTCTATCTTTCACTTCTACCAGTATCCGTAATGCCCATAATATCCGTAAGGCCAGCCGTATCCGAAACCGTGACCATAGTGCGGCCAGGACCAGTATCCGCTATAGTAGGGGTAGTACCCTCCCCAACCTCCCCAGTGGCCTCCGTAGCCTCCCCAGTGACCACCCCAGTGAGAGGCAGCTGTTTGCAGATCTTCTTTCTCGGAAGCTGCTTGGTTCAGCTGTTCAGTGGGAGCCGCTGCCACTACTAGAATTAGCGCAGCGCAGATAAGGATGACCTGAGAATGCTTTTAATTAGAATTCTTGTATATTTTTATAGAAGTATGAGTAATAAACTAGCATATAGTATCATATATATTCTGAAGGCAAGTGGATGCTGTGGTCAGGTGAGACCCACATTATCCTTAATTAAGAATCAAAATGCAGATGCGTTATTACCCCTGAGGACTTAGATAAAATGTCTCGTTGCATTAAAATGGTCTCCGGTTCTCGTATTTTAATATTTCACACTGGTATTTTGTGTGAAACGTGGTGCTTCCCTCCTCGAGCCGAGCCATTCTCACTGCAGATAGGTATACAAGAAAGAAGAAGATGAATGAAATAATATGATATTTGTCATTTTATTTCATTAATATTTTAATTCTATAGTCTGTTATAAGCCACATAATATGGAATATACAATGCCAGCTCTCATTTATTGTTTGGATTTACCCAAACTCAATACACCAAGCAGACAGGTTGGTGAGTGATGTTAATACCGATCCAAATCACCAGTGTTCAAGGTTTGGGTTCGGTATTTTTGATTGGGTTTTCGACTTTCAGGGTTAACCAAATGCAGGTAAGGTAAACATTTGGAGAAAAGTTGGCATTCTACCTCATACCCGCTAGGTGCTTTATCATCATCATCACCATTACAGTCCCTCATGTGTCCATTCCTCAAAAGTATTGGGAAGAAAGATCTTTGAGAGGCAACCTCAAACCGGTAAGCGATGTGTAGAGCGTCCCCGCACTGGATGGGAGAAGTCGATGGATGCAGATGTATCAGGAACATCTTTTGAGACGTTCCTCGGAGCAAGCCTTTGTTCAGCAAAGTGCTTTGTTGTTGTTAAATAGAATAGACAGGTTATTATCTCTTAAGTTATTTCCTAATACTTATAATAGTAACACACTCACTTATTCACGTTACAGTGAATTACCTATTTTCTGTGAGGATACTAAACCTAAAACAGTTTATTTCTGTGATGTTAATGATGTTAGACAGTTAGCTTATATAGCAAATATATAAAATAAGGGACATTTTTAGAGAATGGTGACAAACGAGTATATAGTCCACCTGATGGTAAGTGGATGCTGTGATCCACAGATATCTACATCTATCATCAAATAAGAATCGAAACGCAGAAGCGTTGTCACCCTGAAGACTAAAATAGAATGCCTCGATTCCTGTAAAAAGGTTCTCCGGTTCTCTATACTCATCATATGAAACAGCAACATTAATCAGCTTTATTACGCTGCTTTTCTGTGAGAGCGAGGTCCTACCCCGATCGAGCCGACGAGACAAGTCTCTTAAAAAGTATAAAATCGGTAAGCTTTATATAAATAAAACAGTATTATTTACTGAGACCTGCTCTTAGCAATCGTGTGGGTGCAGATTTTCTTTCTTTCAGTGTTTATTTTTCATACCATTAACGAAATAAAAGCGTTGAGCTGACTTTTCTTTTCTAAAATGCCACCTCCTGTAATTTGGCTCCCAAGGACATGGCTCTCTTAAACAAAACGCCACTACTAAGGTCGAGTATGCTATGTAATAATGTACGTACAGTATGACATCTGTGCATTCATCATCGGTAAAAGAGTCGTTATAATTTGAATCTTTTCCTTTCCCTATCTGATTTTTTAACTATTGCTTCCATTTTGCAGACAGGGAAATAATGCTAAATAATTATTAAATTGTGGTGGTTACGTAAGTTATTTTTCTTGAAATTCAACGCTTCACTAAGCTACAAAAAGGGCTTGAGATGATATAATAGCTATGGAACCATAATATCAGAATAAATAATACATAACATAATAGTGTTTAACAATTTGTGCGGGCTGTGTTCAGGTATTAAAGTTAGGTGTTAACACTCGAACCGTAAATGCAGGTCTTAGCAAATTATTATGAATCAGTACTTTACTACTACGATGCTGTGTCCCATATTATCTCGTGTGAGTTATCAGAGGCTACAAAGAAAAATTGATACAGAGGATGCGTAACGTTTTTTTAATAAGTGTAATAAACGAGCACACAGTCCACCTCATTGTAAGTGGTTGCTGTAGCCCATAAACATCTACATCTGTCTTCGATAACGAATCAAAATGCAGTGAGTTCAAAATGGAATGCCTCGTTTCCAGTAAAAAGGGTCTCCGGTTCTCTACACTTGCCATTTCGTATGGCACACGGTTGCATTAAGCTACTATTTTTTTTTTGTCGTGGTTTTTCTTGCGGTGTTGCTTATTTGTTATACACTTTGCTGTTTTAAAAAAGTATATTCGGCGTTTTCGAAAAATTATCGCTTCCAAAAAAATAAAGCTGAGTACGTTTTCAACTCTGTTCTGTTACTACTCTCTTTAATCTACTGGAAGTTTTTTTTTTTTTTTTTTTTTATATAAAATTTTCTCTCTCTTTTTTTTTTTTTAAAAAGGGTGTAATAGATGAATGGAATAGAAGCCAATAAGAATTGCCATACACTGATATTTTACAACTTTATTTTTATTTTATATTAACATATTATGAAATTTATCTATCAATGAATACCACTAATACGGTATGTATTATTTTTATTTCGATAGATTTTAATTGATTTTTATTTAGTTAATAAATTTTGGTATTGAAATTATATTTCAAATTAGTAGTATTTTTTAATAGATCAATTTCATAACATATTATTGTATAATAAAACAAATGTAAAATAACAGTGCCATAGGCTTTTATTTCGTTCACCTGTTACACCTTATTTTTTCCAGACGGTTAAAAAATCACCCAGTATATACTGCATATAATATTTTAATATTGGTATTACTTGGTATACAATAGCCTTTATTGTATACCAAGGAAAGATTAACATAACAAAAATACACCAATATTTAGGGAAAACTAAAGGCGGTCATATTGCTACATAGAGATTAGTACATGGTAGGATGTACTAAAATAAGAAATAATACCAATTTACGAGTATGCATTAAAAAGACAGATAAAGAAAGACCATAAATAAAAAGACGAAGAAAGAGGAATACCAATAGAGTTCCTTAACCTGTTTCTTGAACAAATGTAAGGATTGGAGTACTTTTAATCTTCTGGGTTAAGGAGACCCAAATTACTCAAAGAATAGATAAAGATTTATCATAAAAAGGAGAGGAGTGCACGGGACATTGTAGGGAAAGATTTTCCTTGGATCGTAAGAAAAAATTATCACAGGAGCCGAGTAATTTAAGACGTTCTTTTAGATAGAAGAGACTTGATATATTTAATAAGACACAGTAGATGGCGAAAAGAATAAAGAGTATTATATACTTATTTAATTGAAAAGACTAAAATTTTGTAAAAGTTAAATAAATATGTGATGTGCGGATGCTCTTTGTCTTTATTTTAGTGAATAGTTTGTTATACTTTATTTTCTTTACATCAGGTATTGTTACAATAACAAATAATATAATATTTAAGAGTGGTGTAAAAATATCTCTACACCATTTGGTCCCATAGGTGCAGTAAGAGGTGACAGCCAGAAATAAACCATGAGATGGGCCGCAGTGTCTTCCTAATAAGAACTAGGCAATAAAATACTTCGGCTATCAACCTTCATTCCAAGCGTGGCAACTATGGCAACTGTGGCAAATATTCTTCTTACTAGACGGTCTGGGAAGTTCTATGTTCAGCAGTGGACTTTGGTAGTCTGTAATGGATGGATAATGGATTTTTGGTAATAATTTGTCGCTTACACTGCAAAGGGGCGAACCTAATTTTTTTTAAATCAACGAGCGTAAGAAAACATTTATTTTTCCCCAATTACTAACTTTTATTCATGAGAAAATTAAAAATATTAGATTTAATGAGAAACTACAAATGAAATTAATTTTCTTATGAAAAAATACTACTAAAAATAAAAAAGCTAACTATAAACAAAAAACTTAAAAATTAGTAAAGTCAGTGGTCACTGCAATCTATTTAGACTTTTATCTAGCCTTTACAGAGTACTAGCGCTCCGTCTCGACTTTGTACGGGTGATTTTGGATCTCGATAAACGTTCCATCTACCGGTTCTTATTGTAAATCTATACCAACCGGAGACCCACTCAACCAACCTACCAGATCTAATTGTTGACAAAATTTCACCAAAACCGGTTCAGACGTCTAGGAGTTCAGTCACACACAGGGATATAACTTTATATACATAAATATAAAGATCAAGCAGGTTTTTTTGTCACTTGTCAACCCAGGGAAATGAGCAGTGTTATTCTGCCTCTATTTTATAAAAAAATAGACATTCTTTATGCTTGGATTTATTTATTAACCTTTGGATTATTTAATTTACTTCCTGTCGATCGACTGTAAATATATACTGTATCATTAAATAAAATTTCAGATGCCTTATAAACATTAATAAAAAAGGACAAAGATAAACTCTTCATTTTATGAAGCCAGTTAAAAGTATTTCTTTGTGTAAGCCGACTTACATAATCATTTCTAGGAAACAAAAACAATGCCGGGTACCTATAAGCCCGCCAGTTAGTTTTTACGCTGAGAAACACACATATCAATGGTTGATAGTGTGATCGACCTCATATTTTTAAAAATGATAAAGTTACAGTCCATCGTATAGAGATTGTAAAAAAAAAACGTGGTAGAGCCACACTGCACCAATACTATTATGGTTGTAACATAAAAAGGACGGCCCCACAGGAGTAGGACCACGCTATCGTAGAATACCAGCGTGGCTTAGCAGATGTGTGCTGTTGTGTTGCGTATGGTGCGTATAGAGAACCGAAGATCCCTTTTTACTGGAAACATCTTTCATCTTAGTCCTTAGGGGTGAAAACTGAAAACGTATCTGCATTTTGATTCTTAATTGAGGCTAAATGTAGATGTCTATGGGCCACAACATCCATTTACCATCAGGCGGGCTGTGTGCTCTTTACCGTCACCCAATTCTATTTAAACAAATATACGTCCTATTACTAGGAAAAGGCCTCCTCTCTTTACTGAGAGATCTAAACTTGCGACCAGGTATTCTTGCAATCGAACTTGCGGTCGGGGTTCTTAAATTAAATAATTATCGGAAAAAATATCAAAAATTACACCCAATACTAGACTAATACTTTTAATTTTACTTATACTATAAAATTTACTACAAGAACAATATATGTATATTTTATAGTTTTATAGAATGGGGGTGAGAAACCGGTACTTAGTCCACCTGATGGCAAGTGGTTGCTATGACTTACGGATATGTAGATCTATCTTCAATTTAGAATCAAAATGCAGATGCATTGTCACCCTTTACTCACTACACGAAACCAAGCACAGTATTAAGCTGCTATATTACGCTGGCATTCTGGTGAGAGCGTGGTTCTTCTACAGTCGAGCCAAACCATTCATGCTACAACCACAATATAACTGCAGCGTGGCTCTACCACGTATGTACAGATAAAATTAAACACATTAAAATAATGTCATCCAGACCGAGTTATTTTTAGTCACAACGGAAACTGCACTGTTTATTTCCTCACTCTCATAGTCCCATAGGACGGCAAACCGACAGGCTCAGGACCAAAGGCTTTACATGATTTTCAAGGCGGGGTCGAATCATAGCCAACTCTCTGACTTCAGGCTGCTATTATGAATTTCCTGATTAAAAATACCCAGTAACTGATTTTTGCCCAGACCAGGGATTTAAATCCCATTTACGACCAAATGAGTGATCTTGGTGGAGAAAGAGAGAGAGAGAGAGAGAGAGAGAGAGACAGTTACCTCTTTTTATATTAGCTAAATTTGTGCGTTTCATCATAATGGAATAAAATAAGAATAGAATAGTTGTTTTTAATATAGATTACAAGTAATTCTTATTGAAAGTTAAATTTTTAAACCTTTACCGTGGGTCGGAGAAAACCTCTGTCCTGGGTTGAAACAAGCAAAAAACCCAACGTGATATTTTATATAATGTCAATAATAAAATCTGACATTGGAGCCTTTTACACCACTACCACAAGGGCCTTTACAAAGGTTCTGGCATTTTATCTATTCCTTTTAATTTAGAAAATAATTGTTTCATGAATTTAATAAAGATAATCAGTGCCTTATTTGAAACCGCTAAAAATGTGAACTAATATTTTCGCGTGTTGAAAAAAAACAAAAGAGTATACACTTACTTTGAAAGCCATGTTGCTATCACCAATAGAACTAAACTGATAGGCAACGGTCGGCGTGCATTTTATATGCTTGCCGCGTCCTAGAGCCGCACGGCTGGCTGAGCGGCTTCCTTGGCCGGTGTGGGGGTGCCAATGACCTCCATGGTGTTGGTCCATGGTGAGACGTCACGCTTGTGTTGCACGATACTCAAGAGATGCTACTGAATTTATTTTCTTCCTATAGAAATAATACGAATATTTTATATTTTTACATCTTATTTAAATAAACTACCAGTCCAGAGATTCAGTTTTGAAGCGCGGCTGAAACAAAAATTGTAGGGAATTATAATGAATTGGTTTACAGATCTAGTAGTGTTGACTCCCTTGTTTTTAATACTGCTTCTAAGATTTATAGTTTATACGGGTGGGTGCTCCAGGGCTTGTCGCACCACCACTGACCAACTTCCATTTTAAGCTATTGTCCAATTTATCCACGAGAATATCGTCATTATTATCATTATCCTCACAATTGATTTATTTAAAGGTATCTAGTGCTATTTACCGGGACAGACCAGACCTAAATTTCTCTATTTCATAAAAATGCTTTCGATTTTTTATAAAAGAGGGGGCGAACGGGCATACGGCTCACCTGATTAAGTGACTACCGCCGCCTATGATCAACTGCAACACCAGGGGAATTGTAAGTGCGTTGCCGGCCTTTTAGAAAGGTGTAAACTCTTTTCTCTTTTTGCTTACTACTATTGTGTTGATAACTGATAAATACTTGATAAACTGATGACATTGGCCTCTTGTTTCATATTTATTGTTAAATTCGAGTTATGAGGATTGCGATCTCTTAGCTCTTTAAGAACATACATAAAAGATGCACAGGTCTACTCCAATTTATTTATATGCAGGAAAATTGATTAGTAATATAATTATAAATTGATTAATAATCAACAAAACTGTGGATGCATATATAATCTACCAATAATTATGTAATTAAAAAAAACACACAACAAAAGATACAAATAATTTTAAAAAGCACAGCTAATTTTGTCGACATTTAACCTGTGTTTATAAATTTAGCGAGACGAATTCAAATTAATAGAATCCGATGTTTTCCACTGCGTTAAGTTATCATTAAGACACTAGTTTGTTGTCATTGAAGTAATATGGTAGCGCCACGCTGCAGCTATATCATGGTTGTAGTACGAATGGGTCGGCTCGACCGGGGAAGGACCACGCTCTCACAGATTACCAGCGTAAAATAGCAGCTTAATACTGCTGTGTTTCTTATGGTGAGTGTAGAGATCCGGAGACTCTTTCTTACAGAAGCATTTCATCTTAGTCCTCAGGGGTGACAACGCATCTGCGTTTTGATTCACCGAGGATAACACACCACAGCATCCACAGCATCCACTTACCATCGGGTGGACTGTGTGCTCGTTTGTCAACCTTATTCTATAAAAAAAATACTGCCAAGCGTAGCGAGATATATCCATGTGCATCAGTTAATTTTTACGGAGTGATTTTTCTTCTGCATCACCAGCTCGTAAAATTCTAATGCGTGACATTGGAATTTCACTCACTCCCTATCAGGTAAAATCTTGGTCTAACGTTGACCTGTTATTTGAAAAAAGGCATTCGATTGCTTAACAATTTTTTGTCTAGGATTTTGTTAATAGACTATATTGACTTTACGATGTATTGGTAAATTTAGTAAAGTTACAGCCTACATATATCCCACTGCTGGGCACAGGCCTTCTCTGATTTCTGAGAGGGTTTTAGGACAAGGAAATTTCCGCCACGATATCACAATAGATGTCATAACATTACATGTCTTTGAAATATTTTTTTCGAAATATTGGTTTCCTCACGATGTTTTCCTTCACCGCCGAGCTCGTGGTGATTGACACTTAAAGTAGCAATTAACAATTTCATTGATGCAAGCGCAGATTGAACCCGGGTTACTTGCCTACTGTGAAATTTACAGCGGAAGCATTTAGCCCCCGAGCTACTACGATTAATTGATATTACTAAGAATAAGATCTAATAAATCTAAGGGCCAATTTTATTCAACCATCAGATAAAGGTTACCCATCAAATAACTTATAACTGGACTTAGAAACAATTGAGTTTTGTTTATTCAATTTCAATCAAATTCATATTAAATTTATTTATATTTTATCTTAGAAATTAGTTCTATCTGGTGATTGTAAAATCAGCTCTAAGTAATGTAATTAGCTATATTTTTCACAACTAATGAGAGGTACGGTCGGTTCTCACAGGAAGGAGAAACGAAGGACAATCTACAAGTGTAGGAAGTTCATTCGTTATTGTACGAATTGTCAAAGCTTCTTGAGTTTGATTATTCTAGGTAGTTACTTATTAGTTACAGAACAGCGAAACCAAATTGAAAGGCTGAGGACGTCTGACAAATTAACATTATAATGTACGATTGAATCACTACTTTTTTGTGTATATTTAGTGCTATTGGAGATTATTTTAATGTATTGTAATTTATTATGGACCGAGTAAAGGCGGTGTAAGAATATCCACTAGCCCATATCGTCCCTCGGGTGTCGTAAGAGGATACAGAGGGAGACTGAATCAGGAAGTAGGCAGCAGCGTCTTCTTAATAACAACTCTAAAATATAAAATAGAAACCACGGTTGTCAGAAATCTGAAATGTTTTATTTCAGATTTCTGACAAATGCTTTCTGTACTCATAATAACGGGTTTCTTATTTTTGTAGGATAGGGCGACAAACGAGCGCACAGTCCACCTGATGGTAAGTGGTTGCTGAGGCCCATGTGGACACATTATCTTATTAATACCTATATTATGGTTGTAGCACGAATGGGTTGGCTCGACCGGGCAAGGAACACGCTCTCACAGAATACCAGCGTAAAATAGCAGCTTAATACTGCTGTGTTTCGTATGGTGAATGTAGAAAACCAGAGACCTTTTTTACTGGAAACGAGGCATTTCATCTCAATCCTCAGGAGTGACAACGCATCTGTATTTTGATTTATCTAAATAACTACCTTATTGCCGAGAAGATTATTTGCATGTCAATAAAACACGAATAAATCATGTCATTTTATAAATTTTTGTGTGTCTTGAAAATGTTGTATCACCTTAAAGTGAGAAGATTTTAAATTCTACCTTAAGAGATCTATAGGGGGACTTAAATTTTAAAGAGGATCTTATTTCGAAACCCTTTTTTATATTTCTATTGAGCTGAATTGTAATGAAATTATTCCCAAAGCATTTAATGCACACAATCCGAAACAACGTCGAGTCATACTCTCACTGATTTCTGTGGCCCCCCGTACACGTTGATTATACCCCTTCGAAAAGCGGTGAAGTAATTACATTGTTTACATTCTACAAGGTTTTGTGACAAACACATGAGTGAGGACTAGGAATGTTACATTAGCATGTTTTTTTGTTAAATAATCGTGTGTTCTTTATAAATCTTTTTCTAATTTGCAGATTATTCAAGGAAATTTATAGGTATAAACTCAGATTAATAAGATGTAACACGTGAACGGAGTAGGAGCCTATGGCACTGATATTTTACAAAAAATAAAAACAAAATTTTTGAATTAATTAAATTAATTATAAAAAAACCTATCGAAATTTAAATCATATATACCCTACTTTACGAACGGCAATAAAAAAACAAATTTAGCAGGCATCTTTGATCTTGTCACTTCGCAAGGTCACAGGCAAGAATAAGGGCCAAGTGATTGTTAAAAAAATTCAAACGTTTAATTCAAAATTTTTATTTTTATGTTTTGTAAAATATCAGTGCCATAGGTTTCTACTCCATTCACATTTTACACTCTATTTTTTTTTCAGACGGTAAAAAAGGTGATCCAGTATAAGTATAGGTAAGTATTTATTACAAACTAGCTGCTGCCCGCGACTTCGTATGTTGATGTTGATGTTGCTTATGCCAGCGACAACGGGGTCGTCAAAATCGAAGATCTGAAACGTCTGATGTCGAATTCTAAGAGCCCGGAGACGGGAAAACAACGTGATGCGCGAGCCGTTCCAGATCTATCATTTTTGTAGGTCAATAGGAAATGCCAGACTAAACAACTTTTGCTAAGACGTCATTCCTATATATGTTTTAATGTTGCTGGGCTTTGGATTTTCACAACAGGTGTTCCAGATCTTCAAATTTATTCTCACAGCAGAAAATACTCCTCACGTGGATGTGAATGACGATCCCGGTCGATAGCTAAACGCATTTCTCGTTGTTCCACACTTTCCTGAGATCGAGAAGCAGTAGTGCGGACTCGTTTAAATTCTATTCGTAATTGGCGCTTGCGTGGAAGTTTCTGCGGACGAACTTAGTGCATTACGCTCACGGTTAGCACCTAGCCGTAATTCAGGCTCTGCGTGGGTTCGAGCGTAACTACCGCTACTACTAACTAACCTGCGCATCTTAGAAACCCTTGAGTTTCGAGACAGATTTGATCTTTTTCTAAAAGGCATAGCTAAAATTCCTTCTTAATCCAATACCAACGATATTCAAAACAATGAAAAGTAATCGAATAAGTACGTAAGAATTGCTAGTAAGTAGAAAAATAATCATTTTTCACAGGAAAATAAAACGCATCAACCAACACAAAAAACAAAGGTAACCCCCGTTTCTGTAGGGTGAGAGCGGCCCATCGGCACCTATAACATCACTTTTTGGGAACGAAACCATAGCGCGATCTAACTTGACGCCAACGCCATCTAGTTAGAAAATGGAAACTACATATTATTTACCCAAATTAACTAATTAAATTATGAATTAAAACTAAATTGTCGTTAATTTAACAGAGAAGTACATTATTTTTGCATAAAAATATGGTAACAGCAGCAAGGAACAAAACTAAGAATTACATACTTAAATCAATTACCTGCAACAAATGTGCTTGGTAAGATATAACTTAGAACCAAGAGTTTGACTTGAATTCATAATTGTGTAACTTATTGTACCACCAATCAATCTGTTTAGTAATATTGGTGTGAAACTCTCCATACAATTAGATAGCACGATGTAAAGTTCTCAGATTTCCTAATGCACATAAAAAGTGCAAAAATTAAACAAAAATTATGATTTTTAAAAACAATATTATGGGATTTAAACTTGCACCATTTAATGCCGTAAC